GCGTGTATGTGAAGACACATTTGGACTACAGGGTTTACCAGTAATCCCACCACTCACTACAGAGTCACCGCAGCTACAACGTGTTAGTATGAGTCGCTGTCGCTCCGCGGCACTCGTTTCTTCTTGTGTGTAAAAGGTTCGGCAGTATGCACTTGCCACTGTTTGAGGTATGTAAAACTAGTAGTCACCTAGTCCAAACTATCAAGGCCTGGTAGATGTCAAATTTGGTAATATGCTGAAAAAAACAACTAATTGGTTATTCGCCTGCCCAAAGAAACATGAATGTCTTAGAATTATCTATGTCTTAATGCTGTTCATTTAGACGAACACAATAAAGAATATCAGATGTTTTTAACTTATTATGAGTTTATTCCTCATTAAACCCTATACAAGTATTTAGCCAATATAGCTAGCAGTATTATGTACAATCTCGTGATTTGCACTCATCACATAATTTACAAAACACCGATTCTGAAACAGACCAATGCTAAACATAATCTTTTTGGTTACAATAATTATTGGTACTCCTTATATGAAGTTGCTTTACCATATCAGTGCTTTCAGCAATTGCCGCATACCGCCTCAACATTATTAGACTTTATTGATAAACGGTGCCGTTAGACAGCGTTAAAACTGGGAATTTTCTAAACACCTATTACGATGCTCAGAAATTGTCCTTGCAGTTAACTTTTTGAAAACTGACAAATAAACTTGGGCACAATCGCATAAATGCCAGAAATTGTTAACATTATATGGACCATTTAAACCGGTGTGAAACTTACACTTTATGATTCTTGGCACGCCTTTTATTGGCATATTCTTGGCCAATATTAATTTTACACTACAATCCCTAATGTACCAATAATGTGCAACACTCTAATTTGTGAATGAAAGCTATTTAGTAATTTATTTATCGAAATATTCCTACACACTTCTATCAATCATTCTCCTCAGTCACGGCTATACCACTCAGCAGCAATGATGTAACTCACAGTTGAGTGGTGTTCGGTGGGGGGAGGGAGTGGGATTAATGATGATTATGGTAACACCTAGCCCTCCATACAACAAGCAGATGTTCCAAGCCCTGTGGAGATCACCAGCTGTCACGCTTAGGCGAAGTCTTCAGCAGTAACGATACCCATGTAAGATTAAAGTTTTACTCAACCTTTTTAGCTACTTTATGCAGAGCGAATGGGCACTGTGTGCAGATATGTTGCGAGCGGCTGTTGGATGGTGCATGTTTTGCTGTTCAGAGGCATGGAGCGGCATCAAGGAAATGGGTGTGTCGACAGTGTCTCGTGCGACCACAGGGTCAAGCTACTTTATCTAGTTTATATGTTTAATGTGGTGTTGTGGAGAAAATGGGAGTTGACCAAATCTCTTCTGCAAGTAGTGCTCACTGCAGCATCTCCCACAAACAACTGTAGGATGCATCTGCAGTTTAAAATATGTTCTTGTCAGTCTATCGGTGTTGTGACTGTGTTCTGTGTGTGTGCAGCGTTACACATGCGTGTATATTAATAGGCCGTGGGACGATTATTGAATATATCGACGTTACACTATTAACAAGAACAATACGTTTGACTATTCATCAAAACACGTATCGCGACAGACTACTAAATAATATTCCCATATATCATATTCAAAGCATAGCTTATCGTTAGAAAACAAAGAAAGAAAGCGGAAATTGCCAGTCCAATAGCAGTTGTCACCAAGTGCGCCACGCTCCTGTATTTACGTAAACATTTTACACGATCTTGGTAGAGCACCGTTTAGTGCTATAGTTTGCTAGTGTAGTTTGTCTTGAAAAGTATTGCGATACATATTGTATCGTGCATTAACTATAGTTATATATCGCTGTATCATCCACCTAATATATATATATATATATAGAGAGAGAGCATGAGAGATTTACATACATAATAACCAGTTTTATATACACTATATTTTAAAATTATGCTGCGCATATGCATTTCATGTTACATAACGTTGCATATGTGTTTTTTTAGATAATTTATTGAAGGATTCAAGGCCCTCACCTTGGGCTCTCGCAGAGATATCGAATCTTTGCCTGGAATCGTAGGGGACAGTCCTTGGAGGGTATCTCCAGCCACAGCAGGGATCTGGCTGCGTTGTAATTTATCCAGTACTATAGCGTATCAATCTCTGCTAACTAGAGGGTTAGAAGGTATTACGGTGTGACTAATTTCAAACCAATTGCGGTCTTCTGAGCATGCGTAAAATTTTCCATAAAGAATTGTTTCCTTATAGCGTAGTTTACTGAACAAATTTCAATACGTTTCACAGTAAAAGCCATATTGGCAATTTCCGGCATGCATCGTAAAACATTAATAATAGTTGGATAAAGCTCTGAGAATTTCGATTGACAGGCCTATTTTAAACTGGTGAATCTTGATGATTACATATTAGACTGACAGTTTACATTCGCCGACCAGACACTCAAGCACTCTAATAAACTCTGTAACGGACACACACTATACACTGTTAATTCTGCTTCTAGGCACAGCACATCGTCTTGCACTGAATTGATTCACGTACGTACTATGTATCTAACGAAGCGCAAGCAAACTTGCCGAAAACGTTATTCACGTACTATATTATTATCTCTGGAACATTCAATACCGTAAAGTGACACCTTGTAGCCAAGCAAAAGAGTTTAAGGAAAAAGATGCATAAAATTACACCGTGGTGAATGAGTGATGATTAAAGCACCGGGGTGTTATAAGTGGTCAAGTGACATAAAGCCATACGACATGGAACGAGTACTCTGTCTCTAATACATTAAATATCCATTCTTAGCAAATGATTACTGACACAACTCACATTTGATTAATAAAATAAGCGATTTGTTCGTCTCTGTGTACAAAGGATTTGTGAACTGTTCTTCTATTTCGTTGATACTGTTTGTATCTGTGAGCTAACTGAAACCAAATAAAAACACATATTAGAAACACACGTATGAACATCAAATAGTGTCATAGTGTATGCAGCACCAAAATATAACACCTGAAGAATAAAGATTAATATGGCTAATTTAGGTAATTAATCGCAGTGGCTACCAGCGTCCGGAACCGGTCGCTCTAGTCTCCAGGCTACGCATCCGGACATTCCACTCACACAGGTGATTGCCGTTACTGGCTGATTGCCGAAAATATAACGGTATAGCACTGCTGCCGTCTATCCTTTCTATCCGTCCTCTCTCGGCTTCTCTCCTCTCTCAATCTTCACACACGACGCACAGCGTCTTCTCTCTCTCTCTCACACACACGCCACAGCTCTTCTCTCTCTCTCTCTCACACACACGGCACAGCCTCTCTCTCTCTCTCACACACACGCACGCATGAGCACGCACGCCAGCACCAGGGTCTCCAACCATGTGAACTCCAAATGCAGAATAAAATTGATGGACGGGGGGGGGGGCGAAATTAACCTTGGCTGCCGCAGGCAGGCCCGCGTGCCGTAGGCATGGCAGTGCTAGGGGGGTCTGGGTATTTTGAAATATTTAAGCCATTTTCCTGCAATCTGAGGCATACTGTGGGCCATATTCTCATGTCTGATGACACTATCTCAACCCTAAACAACCCTACAAGTTAGGATTCAAAACACTTTTCATGACTTTTCAGAGAGCGTATACAGTTAGGTTACTATAGTAATAATACATGTATTAAAACACAGGTAAGAATTGCAATTTCTCACAATTTCACGTGTTTTTGTATGTTTGCAACCATACTTTTTGACTATTTGTGAGTCTGGAAACATTTTCTTGAAGAGTTCATTTGCATGGTCTGCTGCCCTCAAAGGCACATTGTGTTCAATTAAATAATCCGTAAGTCTCACTTCTGCGTCAAGACAGACAATTCTCTATCTGCTGCAAAGAAGCTTGATATATTGGGTGTAGATTCCACTGCACCCGCATAGCACTTATGCTGTTGAGAGACTATATGCCTCTGGCAGTCACTCCTTCCTCCGTGCCCCACTTGAAAGTCTGTCTTGCATACCATGCAATAGCCATGAGTAACACTGAGTTTTGACTTCACAAGTACAGGCCACATCTGTGTATATTCGTTCCTGAATTTCTGTAAAAGTCAGTTTTTTTGGATGGCAATGGCAATTGGACGCCATTCTCACCACGTGTTAATCTGATTAGCAGACAAACTACGCGACACCTTGCAGACAGCGCCTGTCTGACTAGGCTGTTCCATTTACCGTAGACATGCCAAATACAAAATGCATAGAAACACATTATAACACTGAGCGATGGTAGGGGGGGTGCAAAACTAAGGTAATGGCAGAGCGTGCATTTCCAAGAAACGACTCGTGCAGTGACGGCTATTAATAAACTTGCTGCATCTCTACTGCACTAGCGCGTGGCTAGTGCCAGGCACTGGCTGAAAAAAACAATGTGTCCAAGCAAACAATGCGAACAATCAGTGCAAATTTTATACAGTGCAACTGAAATGAGGAATATAAGCTGCGTTCACACGTAGATTTTAGTTCCGTATTTAAGCGTTCACACGCTAAAATATACGCGGCTTGCTTAGCCGCGGCTTGCTTAGCCGCGGCTTGCTTAGCCGCGATTGCTCCGGCTTGCTTAGCGCGGAATCACATTCCGCGACAACTAAGCCGCGTATATTCGCCACCACGCTGGCCGCGTATTTTTTGTCGTGTGAACGCATTCGAATTGCGAAACTGTAGCGCGCTAACCTAGACTGCTACCCGTTCGCTGCACGACGTTAGTGTAGCGTGTGGAACTGTCGACCGGGTACCAGTCTATATTATACCTAGCTAGCTAAGCCTCGAATCTCGTGTATCTCGTGTGAACGCATTTTAGCCGAACTTAGCACCAACTAAGTACGGTACCAGCTAGGCCGTGTATACGTGTGAACGCAGCTATAACCTTGCCGCTGCGGAGTGCGGAAATCGATGGTTGGCGACCCTGAATGATGTGTTGCAACCGATAATTTTTTTTTACGTAGGGTTCAGTAAGGTACAATACTGTTATGTGCATTAAACTTCATACGTATGTACGCACGCACGCATGCAGGCACGCACGCACACACACACACACATAGATATGTACCTTTAGGTTGGCAGTACATTCGGTGATAGTAAAAGAAAATCCCCATTCCGGCACTGAAGATCAGAATCAATAGAAGACAGATGATCTTTACTCTGTAAGACCACAGGTCCTGAAATTAAAAAAAAAAATATTTTACATTAACATTCAAAATTACTATGCGAAATTCTATTAAACAACATGTGAAAAAAAACACACGCCATTCTAAAAACAACCTGACTTGCATATTTTAGACAATGATCAATAATGCACGGAGGAGATATTACATCATGTCACAATAAATCTGCAACACTAACACTATGTCAATGTTTAAACAGTCGCATACGCATACACTCCACACAGAATCATATTTACCAGAACGTTTAACGGCAGCATTGTACTGAAATACGTGAGAGAACTTCGAAACACATCTACAGTGATGTGCTCTGGGGATAGCACTTACAGTCGACATCCACGGCGCAACAGTGTTGGAATACTTGAGGAGAAGTACGGTGAAGACCATGTAGGCAGTGGAGGTACCCATGAATGTGATGAACAGCTTCTCATGTACAGCTGCAAGAGAGAGAAAAGTGAGATACTTTCGAGCCAACAGACTGACCCCACCCCAACGATTACGAACGATATTAAAATCACAAGTTTCTGAGCAATACATTTTAACTACTTTGAAATAAAATTAGCAGGGAACTACAAAAACCCCCGCCCTGGTCTGCACGACTCGATATGTACATGAACTGATAAATATGCATGCATACGTATTCATTATTTTAATGTCAATGTTAGTATTTCTGAATTAGTATATTAGTGTTGCAATATCAATATTGTCAATAGGTGATAACACAAAGACAATTCATATCACTTGCACACATGCACAACGAAAATGACTGTAAAAACCATTTACAATGCCTTACGATAATTGTCCAAGTTCGTGATGTATGTGACGCCAACTAGACTCAAGTTTTCTATAATATTTAACCAGTATGTTACAGACACAGCCAGCAAATAGTTATCCCTGAAAAGTATGCAGAAAGATTTTTCAGGTTTAAAAATTACATACAATAACCAGTATTAGTGGAATTAGTAGTGTTAGCCACACAATACACAATCTTCAACCAACAGTTCAGTCTACAGAATATTTTACACTCCCATATGCAGGCAAAAAAGTATATCCACGTAGGCATCCAAGTAGCAGATTACAACTGATCTATAAATGTGAACAAGCAGTGGTTCCCTGCAATCTATTTAAATCTATTTAAATTAATGCATCATCTGCAGCCTGCACCAAAGACTTGTAAATTTATTCTTTCATTCACAAATATTAAATCCTTTATAGATTGCAAATGTCAGGTTGAACACTGAATTTAGATCCGGAAAATTCAAACAGAATGGGTTCTCTACATTGCACTGCTTCGCTAACTATTCTCCACTCCATATGTTTGAGTTTACTCACCCCGTAACCCCACGTCCCAGGTTGCTTACCTCCAGTGCTGTGGTATATTCTTAAGACGGTGGAGAAAGAAGTTATAGTATGCTGAGCAGATCATCAGCCTGGGTCCAACGTGAAGAGCGATGGAGATCTTCCATGTGTAAGCACCGGGCTTAGCGCTTGTAACAGCACTAATGGATGGAATGAAGTTGTGGACCTAAGTGCAAATGAAACAGAGTATGACATCCTTCTAACGAGACGAACTAAACAGCATACTGAAGGGTTGCACCTCTACATTAGAGCTATATGGGCACGAGTCCATACAGATAAACTCTAGTGCACCACAGGGTGTTGCAGCACAACATGCATGTCAGAGATGAGCCAGTGACAACTACTCGATCAACGGACGATTTTAGAGGCAATGAAGCAATGATGCCCATTTTCGCAATGAGACCATGGTGAAATTAAATCACAATTGCAAATCATAGTATGAATATTTCTAAATAATTTGATTATCCTGCTCTGTTAGCTGCATGGTTTTCTAGAAAATAAAATGGTAACATATATTACACTATGTAACATTAGATAGAAATATATGTAATCCTGTAGATCGAGACAGGGTTACGTTTTTACCATTGTAACTCTTGACTCTACAGGTTTACGTATCTGTAGTAGCTGTCTCTCTAGTATACAAAGCTGTCTCAAGTTAGCCTGCACAATTAAACTAAACATAAGCCATCATGCATACGAAGAGTATTAGTTGTAATGTTTAGACTTTACTCTGCCTCAGGTGGCATACTAGACTTGGTGGCAGTGAGGGACAGTCGTGAACACGTCGGTCTTCACCAGAAATGCATTACATGATATTATAATTTATATGTAGATATGAGAATAACCTTCTCTTCAAAGTCCAAAGGGCTATATCGAAGACGGAAGGAGATAAGGTTTAACAAATTGACAGATCAACACTGCGGATCACAGTAGAAAATGCCTCAAATTTGCAATTAACTAAAGAGGAAGGGAGACAATTCCAATACGGAATGACAGAAACAAAGAAGCTAAACTTAAAGGAATCTTTGAAGATGGCTTCATCAAACAAGAAAGAGGCAATACAGTAAACACTCGCATAAAAGAACCCGTGATTTTAAGAGCCTCCAGGCTGAATTTGGACCAATAAAGTACCTATTATATAAGAACCTCTTCAGTCTGATAAATTAAACAGGTTCTTATATAAAAAAATACCGAAAATTAGAGCAAACTGAGGCAATCCAAGTATGTGTGCTACACCATTGGAAACTGTCTACTATTAGTCACATCAATTTTCACAGCATTTGACCTTTCATTGTGTTTAATATGATAAGTAAATTAAAGGTGAAAAATAAATTAACCCAAATGAATTTAAACAGACATATAATTTCTAATATTAAGTAGTTGGTTAATTAATTAGTGTCAATTATTCACTAATTAAAGCCAATTTTACCTAGATAATGTACACATTATCCCCCCCCCTCCAAAAAAAATTAAGAACCTCTTCAGGCTGATTTCTCACTATGTACCATATATATTAGATACAATAATGTAACCCAAACCCAGGAGGATAGGGTTACAAAGCGTCGTATGGTTTTGTGCGGAGGAACACCTAAGTGAATCACTCAGGGCTGTTTGCTGATGCGTTTTCAGAGACTAGAACTTCCAAACTGGGTTTATTCTAAACACGAACCTTTCTCCGCTATCCGGGAACTTACTATGTATCGCAATACTCTGTATTAAACTAATATAACCTGTTACAAAAATTCGAAGTGACGAGCGGCGAATATACTTAGCGCCATTTCTGTTGACCTGTGACGTACTTCGGTTTGAAGAGCGGATTCATCGACCAATCAGAGGGCGCTGCGTTTGCCGATCGCTATGCGCATTGGAAATGCGTACGTCACAGGTCAACAGAAATGGCGCTCGAAATATCCGCCGCTCGTCACTTCGAATTTTTGTAACAGGTTATATTATTTTAATACAGAGTATTGCGATACATAGTAAGTTCCCGGATAGCGGAGAAAGGTTCGTGTTTAGAATAAACCCAGTTTGGAAGTTCTAGTCTCTGAAAACGCACCAGCAAACCGCCCTGAGTGATTCACTCAGGCATTCCTTCGCACAAAACCATACGGACGCTTTGTAACCCTATCCTCCTGGGTTTGGGTTACATTACTATTATTGTATCTACATATATATAAGAACCTCTTCATCCTGAAACAGAAAATCACGGGTTCTTTTATGCGGGTGTTTACTGTATTCACCTGAACCTAAACGTAAGGCGTAAGTGGGGCTGAGAGGGTATATGTCCCCCAAGGTACTGCCGGAACGTACCCTGGGTACGGTCCCTGGTACTATCTAATATGCCGGACCGTACCTCGCCTACTCTACTAACGAGACTAGGGAGTCGCCTACGCCTACTCCCTAACCATATCAGATAGTTACCACTCAATACCACTGACCAGGGTACGTTCCGGCACTCGGCAGTATCCTGGGGCCTGGGGGACATAGACCCTATGAGCGTAAGTGGGTATAACGTAAGACTAAAGTACACGTTGTTTAATTACAATCAGGCAACTCATACTTACACCTTTG